TATCATTGAGCATCAACTGGCCATGTGCAGTGAGTTCAACTGTGGATCCTTATTGCACTAGATTGTTGCCATTGGCTGACCAGACTTTTTGGATATTTTGTTAAACCAGATGGCTCGTATGAAGCCACCATCGCTACCAATCTTTTGGAAACCGAAAGAGAATTCCCCAGATGGTGAGCACCAGACAGAGTTATTGTTGTCCTTTGCAGAGAGGGATGAGCCCGAAGATATGTTGTTGTAAGTTCGAGCAATGATTGAAAATGGCAGTATCTGTACAAGGAGTAGAAAGAAAAAAGGATATGGTAGTTCAAAAGCCATGGTACATAATTAAGGAGTTAATGGTGAAACTGCTGATGAGCATCATTTGCTATATCTTTATATAATGCATTAAGATCATCGATAATCCATGCAATATGTTTTAACTGAATGTATTATGCTCTGGTTTGCTGCCCACATAAGTTTGCTGAAATGACAAACAAATGCAGTCCTCCCTTGATATACACAAAAAATTCAAATGTTCTATGATATGATTTCTCTTGCTGTTTGTATGTGCAAATTGAATCTTTGTTCGGCGTACTAAGAATTTGATTAACTAGATTTGTCTTTTTCGATCATTCCACAAATATTTTTCATTGTTTTAAAAGCTTTCTGTCTCTGCCCTTGTTAGCCTCTTTCATGTGCAATGAACTTTGTCGCTATTGGTTCTTCAAAATATCAAATGATTTAAGTATAAGTGGAAACGAAACCCCCCAGATAGAGAGGGTAAGAAAGAGTTAGCATTCACAGCAGTGAGGGATGAGCCTAGAGATATATTCTTGCAAGTTAGATGAGTTTCCTATGAAGTCTTTTCCAGTCTTTTATATTGCGAAAGTCTTAAGAACAGTCATGTCCCGTAAGGCTAGGCATAAGCCTTTGAAGACTTTCATGGTGTGTATAAGAAAATTGTGAAGAAATAAAATATTCGTATTGTAAAAGAATAATAACAAAAAAAGCCATTCAACCATGTTTACACCCAAAATAAACAGCCAATAAGGGCAAGACACGTGGAGAGAACTGGGCTTGGTCAGAGGCGCCCTCGGCACTCTACCTACCGATCTCTCCATCAGGGCAACGCCCTTTCCTGGGACACATGGCACGCTCCCAGTCCCACATCGAAATTCTACAACAACTGCACACCTCCCAATGCCTATAAAAGGGGCCAACTATCCCAAAATAGAGGTAATCAGAACTTACGGCATACAAGCCTATTGATCTGTCAGTTGAACTTTCTATTCCCGAACTTACTTAAGCATCGGAGAGCCTTCGGCCGGTACCACACCGGTGCCCTAGGTCTTACCGTGCGTTTGCTCATATTGCAGATCGCGTAGACTACCGAGGCATCAAGGATACCGAAGGCATAAAATTACTAAGTTGACCCTCTAAGTCAAAGAACCACTTTTTGGCGTCAACATCTCATATATTGATTTTTTTTATGTTGGGAAAATGTTAAGGAGACCACCTTTAGCAAAAAAATTTACATGTAACAGGGATTGTATTGTTTTCCTATCCCTAACCAATAACATAATGAGAGCTTTCCTTCCATCTTTAGAGAAACTTGGGTACAATCTCTCCAATAGGGGTGGTACCCATGGTATTGGTGGGCTCCACCTTTATTAGAGAGATGGTACAACATTTGTCTCCAAAGATGTCTCCCTAGCATGACCATTTATTTTTTTTTTAGAAATAAAATTTAAATATTGTATTTAAATGTCATTTATGATTGAAAAAGAATCTTGAGCGACATCCATTATCCCCCACCTCAATTCTCTGAGCATGGAATTGGCTTTTGCACCAATGATCACATGGAAGAAAGTCATTAGCAATATGCAAATTGAAAAAGATGATCAGCAAATGCTCGTGGCCAATAAGTAGTGATAATAAAGCACCACACAAAATGCAAAGGGCAGCAATACAAATGCTGCAGCTGCTTCATCAAAGCGAGTGAATTGCAGGAGTGAATTAAGCTCATTACACTTAGAAGTCCATTGAGCTTAAACCCACCAAAAATATTAAACCTAGGTGGAGACAATATCGGTCCACAATTTGGTTAAATTCCACCTCATGAAGATTGCTTACTATTATTCAAAAAGGCATCTTCCATAATAATCCATTTTCCTTTCTGTACAGTGTAATTAACTTCATATCACTCAGTATCAAGTACGTGAAGTGGATGCTACACTCCTGTATGTGCAAGTATATACTCCATAATAATTACAAATTTTTTTAAAATAAATAAATAATCTTCAGCGACAGCCGTTGTCCCCACTTGGAAGAAAGTCATTGGCAATATGCAAAAGTAGGTTGGCAGCAATATATATCTATCAAGCTCCTGTCAAACGCGGCTTTGACCTCTTAAGTCGTGACAATATGCACCAAACAAAATGTAAATGGCAACAACTTTGAATTGACTCACAAGCAATAGAAATATGAAGCAGCTGCTTGACCAAAGCTAGCTAGAGGATTGAAGAAGTGTGTCTAAAAAATTTCTCTCCATGGCAAGCACTTGCAGAGTATGTGTTCTCGTTATAGTAAGTGTATTATTGCTTGGTCTTGGTGCCTTGTTTGCCTATCTTTTTTGTGGTACATTAGATTATATAACTGAGACATTAATTACGGAGAGCCATCATAAGTGCATCCCGTCTGCCTGCGGTAACATTCACAACATAACCAGCCCTTTTCGACTAGCCAAAGATCCAAATCAAATCAACTGCACGAACTGGGATTGGCATTACCACCTCTTTTGTCACAACAACCGCACAGTATTGGAAGTAGATTCAGGAAACTACTCTGTGCAGGCAATCAACTACGACAACTTCACAATCCGAGTTGAAGATCCTGGCATTCGCAACAATGAATTCTCCTCCATCCCCCGTTATTCGCTTTCCATTTACAACTTAACTCCGTACAGTCATCTTCGATTAGCATCAAGTACAACACCAATAACTTTCTTCAAGTGTGCAAAAGCCGTGAACTCGTCTGTGATGAGAACGTATAACTATGTCAAGCAAGGGAATATAATGGCATCAGATATGGAGGACGGGTGCAGAATAGAGTGGACGACTTTGATGAGTAAGTCGTTCTTGTACGGAAAGGACAGAAACTTTTCTTATCATGACATACACAGCGCACTGGGGTATGGCTTTGAGCTTCACTTCAACTCTCCCAGGACCAGCTACAAATTTGGTTTGTGAATTACTTGCTATATTCCAAGTCTACAATTTCTCACTCAAACTTTCTGAATTTCTCAGAAAGTCACTTGTTTAAATCTATCATCTATGACTTTTTGTTACGCTTTATTTCTCATTTTCAATCATTTGTTTTGTTTAGTTTTACTTGAAATAAGGCGATACAGGGCTGAAAATGAGAAAGACATATGGAGAAAATACGTCAAACATTATTTGAAAATAAAAATTCTAACAATTTTAAATAGTTTTATTACTTGTATTTTGTTTGGCTAATTTAAATTCCCTTCTCTCTTCTTCACCTTCCTCATGTAGTCTACTAATTAGTCAACCATTAAGCAGGGCAGAGTATATATATTTGTGCTTCGAAATTTCAAACTTATGTCAAGTCTTTGATTTTGGTCACTTTTTCTTGTATCTCTTGCAGATATTTACGAGTGGCTGATACTCGGTGAGAGTTTGCATATTCCTTTAGTGCGGAATTGTATTTCCTATCAGTCAGTAGAAAAAACAAATGGAAGCAAAAAGGAAGGTTATGACGCACATATATTATATCCATTAAAGCATGTCATTTGTGATTCTTTTTGTGATGTTGCTTTGCAGGAGCATTTTTCCCAATAAGATCTATATTTGGGGTTCCATTTCTGGCTGCTCTTCTATTCTACAAACGCCGAAGAATGCATTTGTCAATGTATAGCAGCATAGAAGATTTCTTGCAAAGTGATAACAACCTCATTCCGATAAGGTACTCTTACTCAGATATTAAAAAGATGACCAGTAGATTCAATGAGAAGTTGGGAGAAGGAGGTTATGGCTCTGTGTTTAAAGGAAAGTTACGCAGTGGTCGATTTGTAGCAGTAAAAATGTTGGAGAAGCCTAAAGCTAATGGACAAGATTTCATAAGTGAGGTAGCTACTATTGGGAGGATTCACCATTTTAATATGGTTCAACTTGTTGGTTATTGTGTTGAGGGATCAAAGCGTGCCCTTATTTATAACTTCATGCCAAATGGATCTCTTGATAAATACGTTTATTGCAAAGAAGGAAGCAACCCCTTAAGTTGCAGGAAAATGTATGAGATTTCTCTTGGAGTGGCTCAAGGGATCAAATATCTACATCAAGGTTGTGACATGCAAATTCTACATTTTGACATCAAGCCTCACAATATTCTTCTGGATGAGAATTTCATCCCAAAGATTTCTGACTTTGGGCTTGCAAAGCTATATCCGGTAGGTAATACCATGGTCTCTTTGACGGCAGCAAGAGGAACAATGGGATACATGGCTCCTGAGTTGTTTTACAAAAATATTGGAGGTGTCTCATACAAAGCTGATGTCTATAGTTTTGGAATGTTGTTGATGGAAATGGCAAGTAGAAGGAAGAATTTGAACGCATCTATGGAGCATTCAAGCCAAATTTATTTTCCTCTTTGGGTCTCAGACCAATTTTGCACGGGCAAAGAGTTTGAGATGGATGATGCTACAGAAGAGGAAAATAAAATAATAAAAAAGATGATTATAACTGCTTTATGGTGTATACAATTGAAGCCAAGCGATCGTCCTTCGATGAACAAAGTTATAGAGATGCTTGAGGGAGAGGTTGAATGCTTGCAACTCCCTCCCAAACTTCTTTTATGTCCACAACAAGAGAAGCCCAGAGACAATCTTCATGGTAATTCGAATCCAATGTGTTCTAACACAGAGCTAACATGTAGTACTCTGTCAGCTAGGTCTCAACTAGAGTTTCAACTTTAATTTCAATTTTATTATTGTTTGAGGTAATAAGGGAAATATATGGGTTCAAGTTGCATACATTAAAAATACGTTTTTATTTTGAGCAAATACTTATGTGGTTTTGCTCCTCTGCCACCACAAGCATCACCATCGTTGTCACTATCACTACCACCACCATTGAGTCATATCTCATATATAGTGTTTTTTTTTTTTTTTTTTTTTTTTTGGAAAATGCTAAGGAGACCCTTTAGCAAAAAAAATTACATGTAACGGGATAGCACTATTTTGCTATCCCTAACTAATAACATAATGACATGTAGCATTATTGGTTGGGGATAGCAAAAGGTGTTATCTTGTTACATGAGAGTTTCCCTTCCATCCTTAGAGAAACTTGTGTACTATCTCCCTAATAGGGGTGAGACCCATGGCATTGGTGGACTCCACCTCTATTAGAGAGATAGTACAAAGTTGGTCTCTAAAGATGTCTCCCTATCATGACCCTTTAGTTTTTTTGTAGTAATAAAATTTAAATATTGTATTTAAATGTCATTTATGATTGAAAAAGAATCTTGAGCGACATCCATTATCCCCCACCTCAATTCTCTGAGTATGGAATTGGCCTTTGCACCAATGATCACATGGAAGAAAGTCATTAGCAATATGCAAATTGAAAAAGATGATCAGCAAATGCTCTTGGCCAATAAGTGGTGATAATAAAGTGTTTGTGCCTGATAAATCACGGCCATAAGCTGGCCGAAAGAGCCCCTTCTCTTGGCCCTGGCACTTGTTCGTAGAAACTGAAACGCAGCGTTTCGCCAGGGTACTTCGCCTTCCTAAAGATAAAAGAAGAAATGCTAAGGCATGATCATCTCGGCCTCAAGCGCAGGCCGAGCCCGAGGCCGAACAAAATCGCGGCCAAGGCATTAAAGGCAAATCATCACGTGACAGCAGGGTCCCAGGCTTCATTTAATGAAGTAGTGCCTGTTTAATGCAGCAAACCCATTGGCCACAAAGAAGCATTTAATGCGTGAGGGAAAGTGGGAAGTGACTGAAGTCAGGATTTGGTGATGAGGATCAGAGTGATTAGACGTGGACATTCTCACAAGAATTCTGACAGCCTGAGATATTGGTTCAACAGCTATCCAGGCCATAAATGCGTCTCCACGGCCAGAAGCTCAGAACCCACGATCAGGAGCGGCGGCCGAGATTCACCGGGATTTCTGGGGTCACACCACCATACTTCACGATCCCAAATGTCGATTGGACTGCCCACTTGCGCTAATCAGACTCCACTATGCGTAAATTCAGCCTCGATTACTCATCCAGGGACTCTTCCTATAAATACAAGACTCGA